GGCCGGCCTGGCGCGCCCGGAAAGCGGCGTTGGCAGCGCCGGGCGCCCCGCGGCCCGATCCCGGGGCGGTAGGGTTTTACCTCGTGGCGAGTTCACGGAGCCTGGAGACCTTCAAACGAAGACGTGAACTGTTCTTACAGCCATTGGGGCTTGTTTTGTCAGATGTGCTGCAAAATATTGCTTGCTTTTCTTCCCTGTTAGAGATGATTGTTTTGAAGTTTAAGCCATTATTAATAGCTACACTGCAGAAAAAGTTATTGTGGCCGTGCTACACTGACAGGTGTTCCTGCTCCTCCCCCTTCAAGTTCGAAAGAATTTATGGATTACACGACAGTGGGAATCTTAAATTAGAACCCCTCCTCCCATATATTTTTACAAGTAGTGATGCTTTGGTATGGTATTTATGTTTAAATCTGGGATATGTTGGAAACATAGACATACAAAATAGATGCATTTAAACTAATATTTGTAAATGAACTTAAGTCGAATCAGTATTTTCCACTGATATAAATTTATATTCTGACCATCTTCCCCCAAGAATGATTTAATTGGTTGATGCTGGACCAAACATTTAACACCAGTCTATGTATACGTGTACGTATGTACTTGTGTGTGCCAGTATTGGGCTCGAACTCAGGGCTTGGGTACTGTCCTTTAGCTTTTTCGCACAAAGCTGGTGCTATACTACTTGAGCCACGGTGCTATTTCTGGCTTTTTGGTGGTTAAGCGAAGAGTGTCACGGACTTTTCTAGCTTGGCTGGCTTCAAACTGCAGTCCTCAGATCTCAGACTCCTGAGTAGCTAGGATTATGGTTGTGAACCACCAGCAACTGGCGAGTCTTTCGTATTTAATTTGTGAAATAAGTGTATTAATGTATAACTATAGTGAGTGCTGATCCGAGAGTTTGTCTGCTTTGATACCTGGAGATTTTTAGACCAAAAGTGTTGTATTCGAGAATGTGAAATAATTTAAAAGGTAGGGAGCTATTAAGAATTGTGTGAGTAGATATATAAGCCTTGAGGCCTGGAAGCCATCTGTTCAGGTGAAAAAAGGAAGGTCTTGGATAGGTTTTCAAAAGGGGCCTGCTGTCAGTCGGAGCCCTGAAAGCAAGTCAGTTGAAACATGCTCTTCTAGCATTTTGTAAGCTGTCTATCTTCTGGTACTCAGTGGACACCAGTTTTAATACTACAGAATAATATTGGGAACACTTTTTTCTTTCTTCCTTGGAAGGACTGTAAGGGGACACCCCTGACATATGCTGTAGGCCAACTTGAGCCACTTTGAATTGTAGTAGAGGCTTTCTATTAGCTCTACTGTAAGTTATGAGTTTCATTACGGTGTAAGAGATTCTTTACTCTTGGGAAGACATTAGACAACCCAGAGGAGTGAGTGGAAAGTATAGGTGGTAATTCCATGGTGATTTATACTTTTCAAAGTGTTGGTTCAGAGAGATTTGTTATGACCTAGGAAGGTCTTTTTTTTTTTTTCTTACCAATTTTAATTTTAATCCAGTATCTTGCTGTGTTGCCCAGGCTGCTCTTCACAACTCATTAGCTTGGATAATAGGTGCATACCGCCATCTGGCCCAGGAAGGGATTTCTGAAGAGCAAAAGATATGTGATATTATTTCTTTATATTTGAATAGTTGTTAAATTTTTATAACATTTTCTATTCATTGTGAGTATATACAAATATATCTCCATCTCTATCTTTGAGCTCTCTAAATATCTATACATCTATCTATAATTTGCATTTGGCAGTATTGGGGATTGAATTTGGTGCCTGTGCTTTTTAGACAAGCACTCTACCATTTGAGTTATGCCCCAGTCCTATATAAATAATTTTTAATCCTCACAGCAAGGTAGTAGGTTGGATTATAGACAGTAATCCTGCTTTATAACATGGAAAGCTATGTCAGAAATTGTTGACAGTTTTTGTGTTGCCCCTTTGATTATTGCTGTCTAATAATAAAGTAGAGCTATCAATTTTTTAATTTAAATTAGAACTATTAATTTTGAGATCAATTGTTTGTCAGAAAATTCATGCAATAAGTGGGTTATATTCTGAGAAACATCCTTAGGTAATTTTGTTGTATAAACATTGTAGAGTATACTTATACAAAGCTATGTAGAAGGCTGTAGTGTTAACTAGGCTATATAGTCTTATGAATCTATGTGTATAAGGTCTGTCATTGACCGAAATTGGTTGGATGTGACTGTGTATATCTTTTTCTATTTTTTTGGAGATACTAGAGTTTGAACTCAGGGCCTTGCTCTTGTTAGGCAAGTGTGCAACCTCTTGAGTCATGTCCCTAGTTCTACCTTTCGTATATAATCTTCTTAAAAAATGGTTATCCTCACTCTGCCACTTACTGTGTTAGCTCAGAATTTAAAGTTGTCATTTATAAAATATATCAGGGAGATTAAGTGAGGTCATAACAAAATCAGTTCAGTGCTTCATGAAACGTGTTCAATGATGTTAACTCATGTTTTCCTTATTAAATGAGCCTCAGTGAGGTTAAAATGTTTTTGTCATGTGGAGAAAGTGCCAGAAGCTTTAGTCTGATTGGCTGCAAAAGCTGTGTACCCCCTTATTATATTCAATAATTCCTATTAGAATTTCATAATGTAATGGTTGACTTTTTCTGCAATTGCTTATTCCTTTCTTAATCTCTGTGAGGATATCATGATTGTGTCTGTGTTGCTGATATTCACTGCCTAGCTTAAGAGATAAAATGTCACTAATAAAATGAAGCCCCTGTGCCTATCATTTCTCAATTATAGTCTCTTCTTATATTACAAAGGTTGATCACTATCCTGAATGGGGTATTTGCCCTTTCAATACATGTCTTTATATTTTTAGGCTGTAAATTGTTGACACACACATATATAACATCAGCCCAGCTTTGCCACTGACATTGAATTTGACTTTTTTTAGTTATTATTCTTTTAGTTATTATTCTTTTCCTCTGTAAGTTGGAAATACCAGTATGCAGCCAGATTTAAGACTCCTGACTCAGAATTTTAAATAATATGTAAGCACTTCTCATCTTCTTATTTGTTGACGTTCTTTTTTTTTTTTTTTGGTCAGTCATGGGGCTTGAATTCTGGGCCTGGGCACTATCTCTCAGCTCTTAAGCTCAAGGCGAGTGCTCTACCACTTGAGCCACAACGCTACTTCCATATTTGTTGATTTGATATCCTTTACAAGGTTGTTTTTTGGTTTTGTTTTTAAAATAAACATAGGCAATAAATATGGATTCTCTGCTGCTGTCCTGAGGTACCAGAATGGGTTTTAGACTCCTAGATTTTTGTCACAGAAAGGCCTCTGGAAGTTTAAGAACTCTAATTGTTACAGGGTAGGTTTGTAGTTTTATACAATAATTGTCAAAGAGAGGATATACTATATGCTCTGGATGTGCTATGGAGATAAACTTTATGAGATCAATCTACCATTCCTCGATTATAAGACTAGTAGTTAAAATTGGTTTAAAATCAAAAGTTGGTGTTTACAGTGAAAGCACTGAAGTATAAGAGTAAGCTACTGATTATATTTTCAAGACAGGAATGAGAGGTCTTTGACTCAAATTGTGGCAGTTAAAAAATACTATGAAAGGGGAAGTTTGGGGTAAATGAAATTGAAGCTTGAAATTAAAATGTTTGGGCATTGGAATATATTCCCACAAATAAGGTAAGAAAATCATAAGGGCAGATACTGCTATGAATGATTGTTTTGAAATATAAAAGCAAAGGTAAAGGGATAAGAATATAGGAGGATAGAGTAGAAATTATTCATGTGTTCCTTAATATGAACACTTTTTTTCTTTTGGGTCCGGTCGTGGGGCTAACACTCTACCACTTGAGCCACAGCACCACTTCCGGCTTTTTTTTTCCTGCTTATGTGGTGCTGAGGAACCGAACCCAGGGCCTCATGCATGTAAGGCAAGCGCTCTACCACTGAGCCACCTATGAACCTATGAACATTTTTAACTAGTCTTTAGCATCTGTATAGCTGACTTGAGGCTAGGAATTAGAAATGGAAATATGTGATAGAGAGTTGGGTGGGGCAAAGAACAAACTAAGTAGATAGTGGAATTTCAGGAATGTCTTGAAGATGTTGCAGTGAGAAGAGGGAATAATGAACTTGATTTTATATCCGTAGTCCTACTTCATATGTTCTTGGAATGTTGGAAAATAAATAAAAATTAATTCTTGTATGCTTATTGTTGGAGACATTCACTAAGTGGAGAGCTGGAGTTGTCTTTGTGAAGATGAACTCTAAGAACTCTTTTTTTTCTTTTCTTTTCTTTCTTTCTTTTTTTTTGCCAGTTGTGGGGCCTGAACTCTGGGCCTGGGCACTGTCCCTCAGCTCTTCAGCTCAAGGCTAGTGCTCTACCACTTGAGCCACAGTGCCACTTCCAGCTTTTTCTGCTATGTGATACTGAGGAATCAAACCCAGGGCCTCATGCATGCAAGGCAAGCACTTTACCACTGAGCCACCTTCCCAGCCTCTAAGAACTCTTAACAAAAAATACAGGTAGCTGCCGTAGGGAGGAAGCTGTATAGCATGTTTCCTATTTTATAATTTTTTTGTGGTGCTGGGATTTTTGTGGTACTATGGCCTCAGCTATGCTAAACATGCACAGTGTTTTGTGGTGTTGGGGTTTTTGTGGCACTATGGTTTCAGATATGCTCAACATGCACTTTACCACTGATCTATGCTCCCAAAGTCCAGAAATTTATCATTTGA